GTTACTAGAAACCCAGAAAAAATTGTCGTCATTTACATCTTTGTCTGGGGTATTCTTTATTATTTTTTCTCGGCGGCGTCTTATTCTTAAATAATATACCTAGCCATCTTCATTCTGGCCAAGGGAGTATTGGTGGAATAGCTCAGCTAAACCGAGGTTGAGGCCAAGCCGACGGTTTAGCTCGGCGATGCCATTTATTATTTTGTATGAATTGGTGCTAAGTTGGGTTGGGCATAAGTTAGTTTGTCTGAGGAATTCACAAAGAAGAGGCTGTACAGGGAATTGGAGTCCGGTTTCTACAATTGAAAGAAGGGTGAAAGGAACGAAGCCCAGTTTACCCCAGGGAGTGGTGTCTAGTTCGGCTAAACTAAGATGAACATCATCACGGATGTTGTAGTCCCTTCGGAACTCGGCCATAGCCCCTGAAGAGTTTACTAAGAATCTATACTTCCCCATAAGGACTTAAATTATAAATAAATCTAGCTCGGAGTGCTAGCTCGGTGCTTGTGAAGAAGTGGAGTATCACGGTTGAAGCTTTCAAAGGAGTGCCTGGGCAACCTAAATCTGCAAAGTGAAAAGAAAAAGTGTTAAGCACAGATCGTTGGACTGTGCTAAGTACAAAGGCAAAATAAGTATATGCCTAGCTCGGCTATGAGGAATACTATCTGTTCTTAGTTCGATTGGTGCAAAGGATTTTAGCTCGGCCAAATGAAACTAAAGGTTTGGCATGAAGTTTTAGTTCGGTCCTTTGAAGAGTTATTTAGTTTGACATGAAGTTTTGGTTCGGTTGTTGGGGAAGTTATTTAGTGTGGTTGGGTGCACACCTAGAAGGTTCCCTAGTTTGGTTAAACCTAAGCCTTGAGTTGCCCAAACAGGTTTTTAGCTCGGTCACACCACGATTCTAGATTCAAACTTCATGATTTTTTTGAATCCAGAGGATGTGCTCTTAAAACGCGAACCTATGGTTTGGGGATCTTTTTATTTATTTATTTATTTATTTATTTTTATTTTTTTCGGAACATGCTTATACAAAATATGTTTTGTGATATATATGTGTATATATGTATCTATATTATGTATATTCACAAAATGAATGGAAAGAAATAGAGGATTGAGGTACTTACGGATTGAAGATGGAAGGATGCAGATCTGAAACCACGAAGATGGTGATAAGAACACAAGCTTTGCAGGTACTGAGGTTACAGAAATGGAGGCTCAACCAAGAGAGAGAGAGAAGATGAATAGTAGAAGTGGATGGTTCAAGGCATAGGGTTTTTGTTTGAGGCGTGTGAAAAAAGGCGGGACTGTTCAAATTTTTCGGAGTACGAAGACGCCGTGACAGCTGCGATGGGCCAGTGAGAGCTAGCCACGTGTCTATGGGATAGGAAGCGATTCAGTTACAGCGACTAAAAAGACGTTTTGACCGGACAAGATTGGTAGCCCAGTGGCATTTTAGCTCGGTTGAAAGGCTAAAATTTTTTAGCTTAGCTGGTAACGGGTAATCCCAATCATGCTACGCAGATGGAATTAAGGGGCAATTGAGAGGGTAATTTGTGAACAAATTGGGCCAAGCTAAGGAAGGGCCATCTTTGTAAGTTGGGCTGCACAAATAGGCCAGGGTAAAGGGTTGACATAGCTCGGTCTTAGAACTAATGAGTCAGACCCAGGTAAAGTTGGACCGAGATAAGCATCGCGCATATTAGCGCCGAGCTAAGGTCGTCATTGGGCATGGTTCGATCAGTCTCAAGAAAATAGCTCGGTTGGAGTATGCCAAACTAAGGTACAAAAAGTGAAAGGAAGGCCCGAGCTAGGCATAGTTCGGTCTAAACTGTCACTTGAGCATGGCAGTACTAGCTTGGTCGTTTGGTCATACCACCGAGCTAGGATCATCTCACTTGGTTTATGCAGTGAGGGGGGTATGAAAGAATAAACATTATCTGTCAGGAGTGTGAATCCTAGGAGGACTCTACATGGAGGAATAAGAGTCCTACTAGGATTGTGTTACGCGGAACCTATAAAAGCTCACAACAAAACCTATGTAGAGGTAACACAACTTTAATTCCCGAATACACAGAGTTTTTTGTCTATTTGTCTATTTTGCTGACTTAGGCATCGGAGGGGTATCCGGCACACACCCACCGGCTAGCTCACGTTTGTATTTTCAGGGAGTAAAGCGACAACGTACGGAGGAGCGCAAACTTGATCAACAAGATTATACGAGAGCATTATTTCGTGCTCGTACAGTAGTCGTCACTAGATTAGGTTAAAGTGGGTTCGTAGAAAAAATTGATAGAATAGAACTAATTATTCAAGGGATTGAAATTTTGATTTTTGATCTATTTTTTAAAACGTGTAATTTGTTTCTATTTTAAAAAACTTATTTTAATAAATATTTAACCACTCAAAATATTATGTTTAAATACTTTAATATTTTAAATTATTTATATATTAGAAGATAACTGATTGATACTATATGTTTTATAATAAAAATTAGGCATTTATAGAACAATTTTTATTTTTTTATTAATTTATTTTCAATGTAAAATTTTACTAGTTTTTATAAAACTTTTTAAAATTCCATGTTAATCATTTCTCCACACCAAATTGACGAAATCAAACTATAGCATGTTGTCTGTTTTGGTTCCTCCAACAAAACTGGAAGATTTGTTTAGTGTTAAATTTAAAAAAAAAAATTGTTTTATCCCCCAAACTATGACTACTCAAAAATCAATTCAATCCTCATTCTTTTAATAAGATTAATTTTATATATAAACTATTCATTTTGTTGTCAAATTCATCTCTGCTTTTAATTGCCGTCTATAATCAAATAGCAGTTGTTGACCGAGTATCAACATTTCATTTGAAATTTCATTTTATCATTCAAAAACGATCTCCAAAATATCAATTAGACCCTTGAATATATATAATTTTTTTAAAAAATTATTAAAAAAGTAAATTGATTCTTTAATGATAATCTCAGAGGCAAAATAAAATAATTTTTTTTTTTAAATGATCATAAAGTAAACCGCTTGTAGTTCAAAGTTTAGATTTTAGATAGATTTAATTCAAATATTAAAGTCATCTTGAAAACCCCAGATGTAATATATTTTGTGAATGAATAGTGCTACTTTACTCCAAAAGTTAAATCCACTTTTTAAACTCAATAATGTAATAGTCTATTAGAATATCTAAAGTAACTCTCTCTCTCTCTCTCTCTCTCTCATATTTTCTCTAATCATTTAATCATCTATTTCACACATCACTCCGTCTAAAAAATAAACTTTCATATCATTTTGACAAATTTCGTTCTCAAGATTCATGTAAATTTTCAATATATTTAGAACTTTTAAGTCAGATAAAGATGGTGTTAAAGACAATTCACTTATACTGATATTATACCAAAAGCCTATTTTTAGAAGTGAATATTTTATATTACGAGTACATAACATGATGACTGAAATGACGTACTTCCACTCATTAACTGATATATAGTAAATGGTGAAATAGATATATGACGTGCCCGAACAGTTGATTTCTTAAATTTCATTTTAATCACATGTCAATTAAAAAGTGAAATGGTGACACCATGTCATCTCATCCACGCGATGTACCCATTACATAAAATATTTTCTCAATTTGATAGCTCTGATCAATTTATGAATAATTAATTTAGTTGATGCCTTAGGGTCTTTAATGAAAGATTCTTGTTGTTAAGTTTATGAGTCTTACAATAATCATCCCTTTTTATTTTTATCACATTTTAAATATTGGCACAATTACAATTATAAATTCAATGGATTCCACATAAGTTTCATATATTCATTGGTCATAATTGTACCGCATGGTATTTGAAATAATATTACTCATTTTGTAAAAATACTATGTATTTTGTGATAATGTTATTCTTTTAATCGTATTGAAATATTTTTAAATTACAAATTTTCATGATAATATTACGCAATTTTATTTTATTTATTTATTTTTTTTAAATTTTTGAATCAAAAATTATTTAAATCCTATCATAAGAATACCTTACATTTGTCACAAAAAATGCGTAACAAAATATATATGATACACACTAAAGGATATATAATCATCCAACAGTAAATGTAAATATTTTTTTAATTTAAAATAGTTATAAATTTAAATTCAATTTTATAAATATTAGATACATAATAAATATTTTCTATTACAACGTGTAATGGAGAGTCCGATCTTTTTTCTCATTTTATTATTAGTCAACAAAATGTGTGTGCGTTTTTTGGAAGTAACAAAAGGTGTGGGGAACATAAACATCTCTAAGGACTCTTGGAATAATCGGTGGTTACTACATGCATCAATTAGTGTATTAATGAATGTATCAACATTAGTTATAACATTATTATTCACTTCATTCATTAATCACATTACAAATACCAAAAACCTCTTAAATTATGTTACATCATCAATTGGTACATTAATTAATATACTAATTGATATATATAGCATTATTCTGGAATAATTCTTGTAAACTGTTGTATACTTGGACTCCCCAACTTCAACTCAATCTCCAACGCAAAAACACTATCCAGAAAAATCTGTGATGAAGAATCTGGGTCCATAGCATTTTTGCTTGTGATTTACGAGTGATTTGAAACGGTAGTGTTACATGCACCAATCAGTATACTAACTAGTTATTATTGACATTATTATTGACCACACTCATTAATCACATTATAAATTTCAAAAACCTCTTAAATTGTGCCACATCATCAATTGGTACACTAATTAGTACACCAATTGGTATATATAGCATTATTTGATTTGAAATGCAGCACTTTCCTCGTGGTTCTACATTTGGCAGACACAAAATCTGGAGTTTGCAACACCTTCTCCTCCATTGCTTTCCCAAAAGAAAACCAAAAACTAGTGAACAAGATGAAGAAACAGAGCTCTAATAATGAATAGACATAGACCACCACCAATGGGTCTGTGTTGTTGTTGTTGTACTATTTATTATTATGTTGCTGTTGCTGCTATTATCACCTTTTTTCATATCCTCTGCACCTTTCAACAATGCCCAACCTCAATCTCTTGTTGCTGTTGTATTTCCAACAAATGGTGATCCATCTCCAAATCCAGTTCCTGTTGTAACAGCAAATGGTGACCCATCTCCAAATCTAGTCCCTGTTGTATATCCATTAAATGGTGGTCCAGCTCCATCCCCACCTCCACCTCCAACTCCATCTCCACATCATCCTCCACCTCCATCTTCTGCTGTTGTTGTTGCTTTATTTGCATCTCCATCTCCTACTGTTGTTCTTGCTCCATTTCTATCTCCATTTTCACCATTAAATTCTTCTCAAAAGAAATCAAGGCAACTCATAATAATCATATTTGGGTCCAGTCTCGGAGCTTTATCTTTTGTGGTGGCCTTTTGCTTTTACCTTTATAGAAAAAAGGGAGAATCCAAGGAACTTGATGAGTTCTATGTTGATCAAGTACTAAGGATGCCTACCAGATTCTCTTACAAAGACTTGAGAGCCATGACATGCAATTTCAACGATGAGCTCGGGGAAAGGAGGATTTGGGTCAGTGTTTCAAGGGAAATTAAGTGATGGCACCAAAATAGCAATGAAGCATCTCAATGGTTCTGATCATGTTAAGAAGTCATTCTTAGCTGAAGTTGAGACAATGGGCAGCATTCACCATGTCAATTTGGTAAGATTAATTGGATTTTGTGCTGAAAAATCATATCATCTTCTAGTTTATGAGTATATATCCAATGGATCCTTGGATACATGGATCTTCCACAGGCACCAAGACCTCAATCTTGGGTGGCAATGCAGAAAGAAGATCATCATGGATATAGCCAAGGGACTAACCTATCTCCATGAGGAATGCAGGCAGAAAATATTTCACCTAGATATCAAACCCCAAAACATCCTCTTAATTAGATGAATAGTTCAATGCGAAAAATTCTGATTTTGGATTGTCAAAACTAATTGATAAGGACCAAAGCCAAGTTGATGAAGGGAACATTAGGCTATTTGGCTCCTAAATGGGTGAACTTAGTTATCACTGAGAAAGTAGATGTCTATAGTTTTGGTGTCGTGGCCTTGGAAATGTTGTGTGGGCGCAAAAATTTGGATAGGTCTCAGCTTGAGGAAGATATGCATTTACTAAGTCTATTTAAGAGGAAAGCAGAAGAGGAACAACTTATGGATATCGTTGGTAAATACAATGATGACATGCAGATACATAGAGAAGAAGTTGTGAAGATGATGAGGGTTGCTATGTGGCGTCTACAATGTAGCACTTAGGCCCTTTTAAAACTTTTGGGAAGTGTATTTGAATCATGTATTATGTTTTGGAAATCTTCGGTGTTGTTGTACCTTGGTTTTGGATGAGTGAAAATTTATTTAAACTTGTTGGGATTGCTCGTTCACACTCTTTCGCGTTCAAAAGTTGTTTGGAAACTTGAAAATCATGTTCTGGGGTCGACACCGGTCTTGGTGGTGTCGACACCTTCTCTTTTGTTTGCCATAAGGGTCGACACCAAAGCTGGAAGGTCAACGCTTGGTTCTGAATTTGTTCACTACATTTTGGTGTCGACACCAGCCTAGGAAGGTTCGACACCTGCAGTGTTAGTTCACACATTAAGTGTCCGATTTCTTCTTAGGTGTCGACACCTGTGTTGTTGAAGGGTCGACACCTGACTTTTACCCAGATTTTTCTTTCGGTTTGGGAACCTACCTTTTTAGGGATATGTTTGCCTAAATTTTTGAGTTGACTTTGGGGCTTATATCTATTTTTGACCTAGTACTTAGTATAAAGGTCTCACTACCTTTTTCTCTCATTTTTCTTCCTTTTCTCTTCTCCAACCGTGACAACACCTTCTCTCTCTCTCAAAGGCACTTTTTACTTAAAGAATCTCTAGATCTACTCACTAGAGTTTTGATTCTCTTTACCATGGTCCTTTGAGGATGGATTGTAGTCTGTGTCAGGGCTTCTTTATTGTGTCGAGTGGTTCGTGGTTTCATCGCCGAGTATTTTTGGGGGTGGTTTTTCTCTCCTAAGGCTTGAGGTAGGGAATTTCCTGTCTTTTTCAATACTTCGTCTCTAGATTAGAACATGTGGTAGTTGTTTTGTATTGCAATGGAAGTTCATATCCACGTTGGATTGTGTTTGAATCATGAGAATGAACCTAGGGTTGGTTGGTTTTGAAAATGTTATTTTATCATTGATGGTTGTTTGCGGCTAAGTGGAGTGGTAAATAGCATGTATATAGTTTGAAAAGAAGAAACAAAGCCCCCTAAAATTATATTTGATTTTGGTAAATTAAAATGGTAGGGGGGTTAACCTATGTTGTTAAATCTCTATTGTTTAATGTTGAGTTGGGTTGAAGGTGTAATGCCTAAAGGGGTTTTAACTTTGGTTTTGTAAATGGTTTTGGAAATAAATGTAGGGATAATGTGGAGTATGGCTCTATTTAGTTCAACGGAATGGTTTGTAAAACAAAAGGGATGGAATGTGATTTTGGTTAGAAAAAGAAAAAACACATAGCAATGATCTAATGTAAACTATTTTTAAAAATTAAAAGAAAGAATATCAAATTATTACCTTGGATAAATATAGTGACGGAAAATAATTTTGTGAGATTTTTGTATTGCCTTCTCCCATACAGCTTTCATTATTTAATTATTAATACTCTTCTTATTCATAGCCAACCATTCTTTTTTTATATATATCTTTATCACTTGGTAGATAATAACAAATAATAAAAATTATGAGGATTAGGTTAAGAGGAGATAAGAAGTTATAGATAAGGGTATTTCACAAGATAAAAAATTCAAAATAAAAAAAGATAATATGTGATAAAAGGAGAAAAAAAATATAAGTAAACCAAAATAAAGATTTAGATAGATATGTTTTTGATAGATATGGATTAACAAATCATATATTTATCTAAATTTTATTATTTTAATTTTTTTTTTGTAAATCAATTAGTTAATCTTTGTCTTTATCTATAGACGATGGAATTAATTTTTATAAATTATTTATCAATTTTTATATGCTTATTTATGGGAAGAAATTTTAAATTATCTATAAGTTATGAAATTAAGTATTTAATTTTTATCTTTATCTGTATACCATGAAATTAATTTTCATAAATTATTTATCAGTTTTTATATGTTTATCTATATGGAGGAATTTTGAAATTCAAATCTTTATCCATAAGTCATGAAATTAATTTTCATTTTAATTAATCAAACAAATAGAAAATGGAGGAAAATAGAAAACACGAAAGACAATAAAAAAGGATTGCCACGTAGGAAAGAGATAATTTTAAAATTATGAGAATTTAAGAATGAATATTTATAGATTTTTGACAAAACCACTACATTTGATTATATATATAGTATAGATGTGTAATGGTGGATATTTAACAGGAAACAAAAGGTTGCTCTGGCTTGGCTAACCAGAAGAAGGATCATCCTTTGACATAGCCAAAGGACTAGTATATCTCCATGAAGAGTTCCAACAGAAAACAGTTCACCTTTGTGTCACTTTAATTATCATCATAAAAATTTCACCTTTGTGTCACTTCAATTATTATTTTTAACAATTAACGCCTTAAATCATTAAAATTAGTTCACTTTGTTCCAAAACAAGGTTCTGAAAAGCGGTTGCGGTCGCCGTAACGGTGGCAGTGGTGCGGTTGAGGTTGCGGGGTGTAAAGGCCGTAGCGTAACGGTTGCGGTAACCGGAACCGTGAATTTTTTTATTTTTCGTACAATTTGAAGAAACTTACCGATACACATATTTTTTTTTCCATAATCATATTTATTGAGATTTAAAATAAATATTGATAAATTTTTGTAAATTTTAAAGTATGATCCAATATATTCAATATTTTTAAATCACTATAAATTGAGTTTTTTACATTTTATTTTAATAATAGATGATTTTATATGTCATAAATCCATATTAGGCTTGTGGCAAAAAAAAAAAAAAAATTTATTGGAATTAGACGTATAAAATTATTATTTTTAATTATTATACTTGTGGAAGCATATGCAAATTTTAACTTGAATAGTTTTTAAAAAAATAAATTAGACATGCTAATGTAATCATATAAAAATTAAAAAATAAATTATAAAGATTTTTTTTTTTTGGTTTGGATCACTTGAATATTCATTCTCTTTTGGATAACCTATAAATAAAAATAAAATAAATTAATCAAAAAAAATTGACATGTATAAAATATGTATTAATATATAATTATAGGTGTTATATTTTCTAGATTTTTACAAAAAAAAACAATCACTAACTATTATATATATGACAAACAATGACAAAAGTAAGAGAATAAATAAGAGCCTAAATATATATATATATAGGGGAATTTTTCTTAAGGTCCCTAATAATAATAATTTAGAGGATAAAGGACACCCAAAAAAATATTGATGCATCAGGTCCCTGAACAACTTGGCGCGCGTTTTTAATTATTTTGTGGACCAAAATACCCTTGCCAAAATCAACACAGAAACGAAACTCATTCCGACGTCTGAGTTCCATTCCAAACATCCAGCATCTTCACGAACAGGAGAACAGCTGAATTAGGGTTTCAACATCATCTTCACCATCGACATTAGAGCTTCGTTATCTTCTGCAAAAATCATTCCCATTCCTTCCTCACAAATTTCTCTGACCTACGTTAAAGCTTCATTTTCACTGCTCATCATCATCTCAGTCCATCTTCGTCACGTCGCATCTTCATCTCAGGTCATATCAGCTCGTCATTCAAGTTTCATCCTAACGCTGGTCATTTTTTCTACAATACAACTAGATTTTCTCTGGAAACACAGTTAATAGCATTTTATATTAACCTTCCATAAATTAGGGTTTCAATTTCGTAATAAAAAGATACTTGAATTTGGAAAAAGTTATTTCTGTGTGTTTTGAACTTATTCTTGAACAAGTTTGTGTGATTTTATCTGTAAGTTTCTCTGGCATTTGAATTTCTCTGATTTTTGCTTGATGTATGTTTCTTCTTTCAATTTTCTCTGGCATGTTATTTTCACAAAAACAATTTTCTGTGTTTTTATCTTATTCTCGAACATGTTTCTGTAATTTTGTCTATAAATTTCCGTGCTCTGTAAATTTCTCTGTAATATGTATTTTTAATTGGAATGTCTATCTTTCTCTGGAATGTCTATTACTCTCTTGCCTCTGTCTAAGTTTCTCTGGTATTTATAATTTTCCCTGACCACATCACATCACTTTCCTCCCTTGTGTGTCTCTATCATTTTTAATTTTCTCTGGAATTTTAATATTATGGACTGGAATGAATGTTTCTTCTTTGAATTTTCTCTGCCATGTGTATTTTGAGAAAAAGTTATTTCTCTGAATTTTGATTTTATTCTTGAACATGTTTCTGTGATTTTGTCTATGAATTTCTCTGCTTTGTAAATTTCTCTGGAATATGTATTTTCTCTGCAATGCCTATTACTCTCTTGCCCCTGTCTAAGTTTCTCTGGTATTTATAATTTTCTCTGACCACATCACACCACTTTCCTCCCTTGTGTGTCTCTATCATGGTTAATTTTCTCTG